GGCCCATGTCCGTGTGGCCTTGGACCAGGACCCAAACCAGGTGCTAGTGTCACTGGATGGGCGCAGCGCTTACGACAGCATCTCACGCGCCTCGTTTCTGACTGCGCTAAAGTCCGCCGCGCCCGAGCTCCTTCCTTTCGTGAGGCTTTTCTACGGCCGTCCTTCCACATACTGCTGGTGGGACGACTCGGGGCACTGCCGCGATATCGCTCAAGGAGAAGGGTGCGAACAGGGCGACCCGCTGGCTCCGGCGCTTTTCGCACTCGGCCAGCATGCCGCTTTGTGCCAGGCCTCGTCTGCACTCCACTCTTCCGAGCGAAGGCAGTGCAGGAAGGATGCGGCATCGCTTCCAATGAGGGCAAGACTCGGGTGTACAGTCATACCGGCGGAGCGCCAATCGGCCACCCAGATTTCATCGCATCATGGGCGGAAAACCGGATGCACATTGAACGCGAGTTTTTGAACCAGTTGCCTCGCCTCCCTGACTTACAATGTGCGTGGCTCCTCCTCGCTATGTGTGCCTCGCCGCGGGCCAACCACGCGCTCCGCACGGTGCCGCCGCTGGACATAGCCGGCTACGCGCAAGGCTACGCGCAAGCCCATGACGACGCCATATGGGAGACCTTGCAGGCCTGCCTCGGCGGAGTCGCGCCTGGCGAGGCGGACGGCGCACGGAAACTGGCGACTCTCCCAGCCCTCGGTCTAGTCGGCGCGGTCCGTACCGCGCCCGCAGCGTACTGGGCGGCATGGGCTGATGCAATCCCTGTGCTTGGCGAGCACGCCCCGGCTGTGGCCGAGGCATGCGTCCGCCAACTGGAGGGAAGGGACACAGACACGGCCTGCCTCCGTAGTGCAGCGGGGGCACGCAGCCTCCTCCAAGCAGAAGGCTGGCAGGAGTGCCCGTCTTGGCGAGCAATCGCGGACGGTGCCCGCCCACCAGCGGTGACTGACAGGGGCCTTGGTGACTGGCCGCACGGCTGGCAGCACAGTGCGTCGCGAACTCGCAACCTACACTTCCGCGAGCGCACGTTGCTACCAAGCCTGCCGCCCAGCGCCTGCGCGCTCCTGCGCTCTCAAGCTGGGCCGCACGCGGGTGCCTGGTTGACCGCCATCCCGGCCGAGCCAGCCACCACACTGCCCCCGCAAGCGATGCAGCTTGCGTTGCGCCGCCGTCTGCGCCTCCCGCTCCCCCTCCGTCTAAATCGGTGCGGCCCCTCTCCCGGATGCGGCGGGCTCGTCGACGTCTTCGGCGACCATGCCTTGGCCTGTCCTCGCAGTGGGCTCTTGGCTCGGCGAGCAAAGATCGTCGAGCGGGCTTGGGTGAGAGTCGCGCGCGAAGCCGTATAGGGGCGGATGGTCAGGTAGTCCCGCAGCAATGGCTCTCCCACACCACTGCTCCTGGTGTTGCGCCAGACGACAGACGCCGTCTTGATTTAGTGATCTACGGCGCATCGCCGATGGGAGGAGCCTTGTGCTGCGACGCGACCCTTGTGTCCCAGAGACTCCAATACCCCTTAATTAAGGAATATATACCTTAAATCCTATTAGGGATCCTACTATAATTTAAGGTATATTCCTTAATTAAGGGGTATTGGAGTCTCTGGGGTCGCCACTGAACCGGCACCGCGGTGCACGACGGCGCCATGCTGCGGGTCGCCGAGCGGCGCAAGCGAGCCGCCTACCCCGAGCTCAGCTCCGGAGGCCCGCAACGGCTGCTCGTGCTCGGCTCCGAGATAGGCGGGCGCTGGAACGAAGCGGCGCAGCGGCTCGTTCGAAACCTGGTGCGCATCCGAGCTTAGTGGGCACCGCCGGCACGAGGAGCAGCCACTTCCGCCTGGACGAGGCGGTGGTGGGCGGCTCTGGCCGTAGCGGTGCAGCAGGCCGTGAGCAGCACTGCGCTCGGAAGCCCGTGGCCCGCGCCGCCACACGCGAGCCAACAACCGCGCCCGGAGCTGGCCGGTGTGCTCGACCTCGCCGCTGCGGGGCCGAGCCGACTGCCGCTGCGCTAGCCGCTAGCCAAAGTCTCAGACCATGAACGGCCTGCCGCCGCCGCCGCTGTAGCCGTAGTAATGCGAACTAACATGTACACCGCTTCGTTCTGCGGAAAAAGGTGCGTGAAAAAAGCTGTATTGTATTTGTCAGATCTTTCCCATTCTTTACTGCCAGGCTTCTTCGGATTGCTGGATTTCAAGCTGATTTTCGTATCAGGTGTTTTCAAAGACGAGATCTGGTCTTGAGACAACGGCATGACGATTCCTCGAGAGCACTATTTACACTGTTGAGAAAAATGCAAATCAAGCGCGCTTGTCGCTGGCACAGGCACCGCAATGCTGGCAGCCTGGCAGAAACTCCCCAAGCTCGCATTCTTCCTTCTCGGGCCGCGCCCGCAGCAGCGCGTTCTAGCATGACGAGCAGCTGCGAGGGGCTGTGCGGTTTCGGCCGAGGACTGCAGTGCGCGGACCAATCGAGCGGCTGCTGCAGCGGCGCGCGTTGTTGAATGGTCGGCAAGCAGTCTGCCCAGGATGACCAGTAAGGGGCGGGGGCAGTGTCCACTGCAGAGCGCACCCCCAAGCCACCAAACGGCAAAGGGAGCTGAGCGAGGCGCTGTGAGTGCTGAGGCAGTGGCTGCGGGAGCATGTCCTGCGACAGTAGGGCCGCTAGGATCCGCAAGGCACCCACACACCGCAGCGTCGTGTTCGCGCGCAAAGGCATCCGTCGTGCCAGGCGGGAGCATTCGGAGCAAGTAGTTTGCCCGCGGGGAAGCGCAGAAAAGCAGGAGGAGCCACGCGCACGGCAGGTCCCCAACGGCGGGCAGGCGAGTGAGCAGTTGGTCTTGGGTCTCGCGTTTACGGCGCAGCTCCAGTTGCACGAAAGCCTCGCTTCCGAGCGGCGCGCCCAGCACTAGTAGCCCCTCCCTGCTGGTCCGCCGGTAAGGACCAGGCGCCCGTCACCGACTGGTTGAATACGGGCGAGGCCGGCGGGCTCCTCACCGGCGGCATTCCATACGCGGGTTTTGCCTTGGTTCAAGCGTATGCGCGCATGGCGCCACAGCGCGTCCTCCAGGGCGCCGTGCAGCGCATCGGTGCACTCGGGCGCTGACACGGCATAAGTGTCGTCCAAGAATGCGAAAATTGGCCTCGCCTTCTTGTAGCCCAGCCGCTGCTTGGCTTAAAGCGGCACGCTGCGCCAGGGAGAAGAGTGCCGGCATCAGCGGATCCCCTGGCTCGCCCCCATCGCCTTGCGTTATCTCGTTCTCGGTGCCGGTCTCGTCGAGCCAGGAGTAGACGCTGGCGCTGCCATAAAACTGGCGGCAAAAAGCAGGAGCGGGGCGAGCTTCTAGCATGGCCTGGCGCGACACATGGTCGTAGGCACCCACAGCGTCGACGGACAGTACTGTAGCGCGGGCGTCCAGGGCCGTGGCTGAGTGGAGGAGCTTATAAAGACCTTCCGTGCCCGCCCGTGTGCTGAGCCCATACTGGTACGGGAGGCATGCTTCCTGGAAGGCGGCGGCAAAGTGTTGCGCCAGCGCGCGGGCGACGAGGCGCCTGAAGACGTCGCCCACAACCAAGGCCCGCACGCGGCCATTAGGCTTACGTAGCGCCACCATGCGCCCTAGCCGCACGGCGGCGAGGACTTGCTCCGGCACGTTTGCGTTAGCCCTCGCAGCTCGGTGGAGCAGCGCTCCGTCTGCCGGCTCATCAAGGAGCGGATGGCCCCAGAAGGGCCAGCAGCCGACCCGCAGCGTGCTTTTTGCAGGCACCCAAGCAAGACGCACTCTTGCGACGCCACGCTCGTGTCTCCCTTGACACGAACAGGACACCCGCAACCGTGCGCAGCAGTGGTCGACGGCGCCGCATTGAGAGTGGCCGAGCGCCGGAAGCTAGCAACCTACCCGGAGTTGTCCCGCGGTGGGCCACAAAAGCTCGTCCTGTTGGGTTCGGAGGTGGGCGGGCGCTGGAAAGACTAGGCGCGCACTTTCGTGAGGGACCTATAGTCCGGCTGAAAGCTCACCGCGCACGCGCTGCCCTTGGTTGCACCCACTGCAGCCAGAAACCTGCGACGGCCCACTGCTGCCCTGATGCGGGACTGGTGCGTAGCTCGTAGTCCGTTAGTAGCGTAGTCAGCTGCGACCGCGGCTGGAACACCTTTCGTTGGGCAGCTCGAAAAGTCCGTGCCCCCAAAAAAGATTCTTCCGCGTTTTTGTTTTTTTCAGCGATTTTCGTGTTTTTGGCGTTTTCGTGTGCTTCGCGTCCACCTTTGCGCCTCCGCTTAGCTAAGATCACAAAGCGTTTCCAAGCCTCTCCGGAACCATAATAATAATAAACGATTGCGACTGTATTGTCGGACTTTGTCAGACTGTGATGACCGGCCACGTTTATCGACTTTCCAAGCGCGCAATCGATTCCTCGATCTGGACGTAGGCCGTCATCTCAGCCGTCAGGTCCGAGCCAGGGTAGCATGAACTCGGTTCGACATGGACCGTTCCATGCCATCGGAAGTTGGAAGGTTGCTCAACGCGGGCTGGGCCGGTTAATCAAGATTCGGCCCCTGTGTGATGTATGTCGGGCGGAACAGCCTTTTGTTTTTTTCGCTGTTTTTTTTTTGTTGTTGTTGTTGTGCTCCGCAGACGAAGCCCCGGTAAGTGAGCAAGTCAGTGATCGCTTTTGCACGGCAGAAGCCAATAAACAGCTTTGCAGGAACACAAAAACACATCGCGCAAGAGCTGAAAATAATAACCACGCCGCAACAGCCCAAACAGCATTCATTCCCCATCATTCCCCCGCAGCAACAGCGACAAAACAAGACACCCCCCGTCTCTGCGCAACCACAGCAAACAAAACAACAGGCACGATGCAGGCAGTCAGTTGCTTGAGCTTCGCAGGCATTCCTATCAAAAGAGCGACGCATTGCGCCCAGAGAAGCTTAAGTGGCACACAATCATGGCTTGCGCTCAACTTAACTATAGCTATTGCTGAGAAATTGGAACGCCTGCTTGCGACATGGCCTTGGCCGATGGGGCGTATCAGATGCAGCCGTTGTACAAGCTGGCCATGCGGACGCTTGCGGGCCATGCCCCTGGCCTTGCCGGCCTTATGGCGTTCCAATACATCGCTTTCAATCGATCTCTGAGCGAGGTCTCCCTCCAGGACGGCTCTGTGATGTCGTGGTGTTCGGCGTTTGCCATCGCGGCTTTGTCTTGCAGCGCCGTGTTCGCGAGCGCTTCATTTGTGCTTGCAGACTACCTGAGGCGGATTGCCATTGACAAAGCCATGTTTCAAGGCTTCGGGCTCCAACTCCCTGCCAAGAGCATTAGGCACAGCAACATCGGAGTTTGTACACTTGTTGTGGCCTTCGTTAACTTGGCATTGTTGCTCGTGGAGCTGTGGCAAAGTGTGCTGTTCAAAGGAATGCCCTTGAACGATGTGCCTTTGGAAGGTATTCAGCGCGTATTGCCGCTGGTACTATACCTGGTGAACCTGGCTGGACTTGTGCGGTCGCCGAAGGTTCGATGGCATGAATGTCAATGGCTCATGCAAAACCCCCGACCACTTCCAACTTTCCTGCTGATAGAAGGCTTTGCCCATGAGCAGGTTCAATCGTGTCAGAGGAATCACGGATGGATATTCCAGACGAGCCGGGCTGTCCGTCAACCTCCAGCAATTGCTGAAGGCATCGAGCTCACGTCTCGCAGCAGAAGCGTTGACGTAGTTAGCCCAGAATTGGAACCTGACGTGTCTGACGAGACCTTAGCGGACTTGCCTTCGCTGGTACGAAAAGTCCCTGCCCTCATGTCTCACCGTCGTGGCGCGGTTCTCATACACCTGCTCTTGGTTTTTGTTCTCCTAGCTTCTCTGGTGTATCTCCCAGCTGCAATGCTCCAGATTTACAAGGCTTCTTTCACGCCACAGATCAAGAACTTCGAAGTCCATGGAGGCAACTTCCGCGAGGAGGAGCAGGGCAAGGTGACCTTCTGGATCGTGCCGGACGAGGGTCAAGACCAGGTAGTGGCAAGCTGGACAGATAGCTTCGTCAGCCGGTGTTTAGGCGTTGTTCTGTGCTCTCTTTGTACAGCATGGCACTGGCACTCCAGTGTTTGAACCACATCGAGTGACTAACGTATATCGAGCCTATTCGACACATGTTTTGTGCTTGCCGAACGTGCCTGTACACCCCGTCACCAGGACGAGAGCCTGTGCGAAAACAGTTAAGCATGATAATCATGATAAGCATCTGCTGCTATTCACCTTATTTCATTTTCTACCCATCCCACCCCAATCTTACCATTAGGTTAATCGTTCAGCATCATTCCAGTGCGGCTACCTGACCTGCGCCTCCATCCGTACCCATCGCCACAACGAGAGTGAGACATTTCCCGAGTAAGAAGTGTTGAGAGTGCTGGCATAACCCTTTCGGAATCTTCCGTTCTCAAGGGACTTCAAATCTGTGTGTGCGTGTGTAGTGTTAGCAGCCACAGCCCCATCCTGTTTTTGCAGAAGGTTTGTTCAACTGTTCACAGCGGTCCCAGTGCACCTGCCCATTCGTTCTTCATGCACCGGCCACCAGGTGGTGTTGCACTTGACTGCGGACACATCGACGGCCAGCTCCTTCTATCTCTGCCCGGGCGACAGCTGTTCGGAGCCTCTGCGCAGGAAGGCGAACATGCGGCTCAACTCCCAGCAGCTCACCATGCAGCTGACACGAGAGCACTTCGGTATGCGGAGCTCGTTTAAGCTCTGTGGATTCTTTACTCGCATCGTCTATGTGGCCATTGCAGATCTCCCGAAGGTTCAAATCACCGTTGGGACTATGAGCAAGACTGCTGTTGTGAGTGGCCAGCCTTCTATGTTTCGGGGCAAGTTCCGGAGTGACAGCATCCAAGGCGACACCGTGAGCTTCGATTTAACGGCCGACCGGCGCTTCTTTGACTTCGATCTCCGGACCTCGATACTCACAACGACGTCCAACCCCACACGCCGAGATCTGTGCAGAGTCGCTTCTGGACAAGTTGCCTGCAAGGTCGCAGATTTTCAGCAGTGGTGTGGGAAGGCCTGTGATCTCTCGGTGGAGTTGTCCATGAAGTTTAGCACGGAGGTAGAGAAAACCTTGAGGCTGATGGTGGAGGTTCGCAGCACAGAGCTGTTTCACCTCCAGGAGGTCTCGGACCTTCAGCGGAGGATGGATGCCAGCGAGATGCCAGAAGAGGTATTGAGTCTTCGACGAGCAAGAAACTCCTTGCTCAAGGAGACTTACGACGTTTACAGGGGTCAGCAGAAGAGAAACGATGTGCAGCAGACGACCATCCTCTTGACTGGACTCACTGGGGCAGGCAAGTCGGCGGCGTGTCGCTTCTTGACGATGAACGAGTCTTGCAGGTATTCAAACAGCTGGAATTCTCACACGAAGAATGTTTCGGAGATCAGGGGCCATGCATTCGGCGATAAGATCCAGCCTCGCCTGCGCATCTTCGATATTCCCGGTTTTGGTGACACAGAGGGCGCAGTCGTGGACGAGAGACAGTTCAGCCAGACCATCAGTCACTTGAGTGATGTAGAAGGGCTAGATGCCATCTTCTGGGTTGTCAACGGAGCCATTCGCCGCAAGCTGGGCCCGCGCCGGGACATGTGGCGACGGTACAGGAAAGCATTCGGCTCTTTTCGAGAAGCTGTACGTCATCGTCAATTTCGTGCCGTGGATGCCATACACCAGTCAAAAGGAGCTAATGAGCAATTGGATCGAGGAGTTCAAGGCATTTCTGCTTTCAGAGGAGCAAGAATTCATGCAAGATGCCTGGGAGTTGGTGGAAGACCGAGCAAGGGGACTTGTCAGCAAGAGCCTCAAAGTTCGCATCGTGGACATGAACCCGATGTATTTGCAGGGGAATCTTCCTGTACCGCTGTCTGCACCGATGGTCAGCAGCCTGCCCCCTTTTTCCATGCCAATGAACTTGGTGGAGTTGCTGCAGGCAGTTGCGGATATCGGTAAATCTTCTGGGAAAAAGCTTGTAGTGAATGCTGCATGCCCGCTCCGTGGCTATGGCGAAGTGGACGACGACCGTACGAGCTACACCACCCAAGCCACAAGGGATGGCCCTTTGATGACGGTGAAGCTGCAGGGTGAATTCCTGGGCAAGGGTGACAGTCTGCTGGCGCAGTCCGCCAGCTTTGGGTGTGGCCAGGCGCCGGCTCAGTTTCTGGTTCTTTTGAGTTACCGCGAGGCTGCCAGCGAGACAGCGATCTTCCAGGCCCTGCTCCCTTACCGGGTCTCTGAGTGGCGGGGGGTGAGGCTGTGCTTTCGCGAGGCGCCGCCTGAGCCGGACAGCCAAGAGGATGTGTCGCGACACTGCCACGAAGCCGGAATGCTGCAGATTTCGGAGCATGCCTGGGCTCATAGCGAAAGCTACGAAATCGTTCAGACTCTGCATGAAGCCCAAGGAAGCATCAATGCAGTTGTGTTTGCTGGCCATCACGATTTCCTGGCAGCTGCAGGCGACGATGACGTGTTGCGGGTGTACAGGCCTGATTACTCACATGGCGCAAAGTATATGCTGAAAGCGAGTCAGGAACGGGATAGCGGTATCACTTCATTGGCATGGTCGCCTCGTGCGATTTATCTGGCGGCCAGCACTGTTGATGGAAAGATTGTGGTGTATCACCTCATCCATCATTCCCTCGAATTTCGATTCTCCATTAATGGGACAGACGTAGCATGGTGTGATGAATTCCTGGCTGCCGCGGGCCCCGGTGGGCATGTGGAGTTGTTCAGAGGAGGGTCCAATCCTGTGCTTGTCCAACGCATGGGAGGTGGTGAGGCGCAGGTCACTGCTGTTTTATGCGCAAACGGGAGGATCGTTGCAGCGAGCACCGACTCTCACGTGCGTCTGTACGCGCACGGTGGTCTGACGCCTATCTTTGACCGGAAAGTCCCGGGCGTCGAAGCTGTGGCTTTGTGGGCGAGAAGATACCTGGCGCTTGGGAGTGCTGATGGGAGTGTATCGTTGATCGATTTCGCATTGCAGGCTCAGACGTACGAAACGACCCGGAACGATGCCCATGAAGCTGTACTGACACTTGCGTTGTCTGGTGAAAGGCTTGCCGCAGGCAGCGCGAACGGAAAAGTTTATGTGTATAAAACTGAGCACCTGCTACTGGTCTCGGTGCTGAGTCATTCCGTGGAACCCATCAGAGCATTGGCGTGGTCGTCTGGTAAAACTCTGGCTGCTGGAGGCAACGACTCGAAAGTGCGGCTGTATGAGCTAGCAAAGACTGCCAGGGTGGGTTTCAGTTCAGACCTTCAAGCTGTCTCCCCTTTAGGCATAAGTCGACAAAGATCTTCGCAGCCTGCGTTGCCTGGAAGCCCGGAGCCATCAAAGCTTCTATGCTCTACTACATTCCAGGTAGACGTGGCTGAGCTGAGCACAGCCGATTCCAAGCTTGCCCCCGGGCCGGTCAATGCCGGGGGGAAGTAGGGACGGAAGTATGCAAGTAGACGAAACTGATCCCACCACCGAACCCCGAAGCGATGGAACAGCGTGACATGTTTCGTACCTAGAGGCCTCGGTGTGGGGGGCTTAAGAAATCCCATGCCCGGCGAATCAACCCTCTGCAATGCAACATTGATGGGGTCAGAAGGGGGGTTTCTAGGGTTTTGGAGCTTGGATGGCTCAGATCTTCGGATTGCCTTGCAGAATTCAGGCTTGACAGTCTGCATGGCGTTTAGAGGCCTGGAGTTTGGATTTGAGAGACATGAGCTGGAGTCCACAACTGGGACGGACAGATTTCACAAGGACAAGGCGCATCTTGCAGCACATGGTTGTTGTTTATCGATCCCACGGTTCGTGTGTAGCAGGTTGAAGGATGGGACAGATGTGGTGACCTTTCGACGGCAAGCCCGAGGTCTCAACAGTCTCAAGACATTGAGTCGTGCATCGCTAGGCCCAGGCTTACGAAGACCCTGTGGCGACAGCTTGTGCCAGTGCACAAGAGCCGGATGCACCAGAGCGGTGGTCGAGTTTTTCAGGGGCTTAGGGTGCACGGCTTCGTGTTGGGCTTTGAGGTTCATCTGAGGGTTCCAGTTATGAAGCAGACACGCCAAAGAACCAGGTACTGCAGTTTCCTGCTTTTCCAGCTGCATCCATGGGCCAACCATGATAGCATCCACCCTGACCTCATCCGTTCCCCAGAGCATCCATGGACCGAGTATGACAACGTGCACACGGACCTCGTCCCTTCCCCAGAGCCGTCATGGGCCAATCATGATGTTCCATGGAAGAAGTGCTAGACGAGAGGCTGTGCTGCGATCTGCGGGCATAACTGCACCTGTTGGAAGAGTGTGTAGCAGTGTAGCATTTAATCACTGGCAAGTGTGCACTAATGAAAGAGATACACATTCAACGAAGCTGGGCACACGGACTGGGCGCAGGTTGAAGCTCGTATGTGCAAGGGGGCTGCAAATATCCAGTTTTTACAGCTGCATGGAACCCTTTGTAGTAAAGAGCCCCCCATATCACAGTCTCACACGCAGCGAACGCGCAATGGCCAGCATGGCACAAAGTTCCTTGCGCGATCCTGCTTTCAATCGCTACGGAGAGGTGCTCCGTTTGGGCCAGGCCGGGACGACGGAACGAACACCTTTTTTGCCGAAACGTGTGTTTGCCCGTAGCTATCTTTATATCTACAACTTTTTATTTTGTGCACTTGTGTATGTACGTGGGCAGATGTGTGCGTAGGATGGTAGGTATGCAGGCAGGCAGGTATCGGTATCTGCACTTTGTACACATCTATGGTATGCTACGCATCCATCCAGAAACAGAAAGGTGTGAGAGGGCCCTACCAGGCCCTGGCCCTAGCCGTTTAGCTGAGGGATATGGGAGTTTCTGGGTTGGCATCGAGCGCCTGGGAGCGTGGGAGCTAGACGCGAAAGCCCTAGAACCCCAAGCAGGACCGGCGGATCACAGAAACGGATGCCCCGACATTGGAGGTTCAGGACATCCCGGCACGCAACAGCCCTTCGACGGTATGCTTACATGTGAGGCTTTTAGCACCATGCAGAGTCAGACCATTCGGGGACGAAGGCGGTTGTGAAGTTAAGGATGTTTGCCATTCCGACGATGCTCTTTGTTCCAATTCTCTTCGAATTATGACCCTAGATCCTCAACCCTTAAACCAGACACAAAAACTCTAAACTCTGGGATCCGGGGTCGGGATAAGGTTTGGGGGCTAGAGCACCTCCTAGAGCTTGGGCCTTTAGAGTTTCGGGTTTAGGGTGTAGGGGTTCAGGGCCTTTAGAGATTTGGAGTTTCGGGTTTAGGGTTTGCGCAAGCCCTGATGCAAAAAGGGGTTTAGGGTTTTTAGGAGTTTAGAAGTTTAGTAGTTTAGGGTTTAGGGGCTTGGGGTTTAGGGTTTAGGGCTACGATTTTTTCGGCTCTAATGCTGCATGTAGGAAAACCTGATCTCCCAAACCCCAAAAACCGCAAAAGCTGAAGCCGCGAGACCTCCCGACCAAACTTGAAACCCCAAGCCATAAAACCCAAAACGCAGAACTTCGCAAAACTTCTAACCCTTAACCCTAACGTGGGCTTCTGGTGTGGCACTGCTCTGAGTGCAAAGTGATCAACCTGGCGTTGAATGAGTGAATCACATTGGTGAGACTTGCTGCATGAAATTGCTCGTCCTCCAATTCTGAACTGACTTGTGTGCGTGTGTAAATTCGTAATTTAACCATGAACGGTTGCAGAAGGGTGTTGCCCATGAGAGCGCTGAGTGATTCTTCACTTATGCACCGTTGGCGAGGAAGTAGACGTGCATGCGAACTTGTGGATACTCCTGTCATATACCATCCCTAGCGATTCGATCAGCAATGCAGGAGACAAAAGGAACCCATAGATTCTCGAATGGACAAGGTTCTCAAACTAAAAGCTCAAACCCGAGCCAAAACCTCCAAAAAACACTAAACCAAACCATTAAACCCTAAACCACCTAGTCACTCTCTAGAAAACCACCTAAAAAAAAGGCATCCTATTTTACAGGAAGCCCTTAAAGAAAGCCCCTCTAAAGGAACCTAAACCCTAAACCCTAAACCCCAAACCCCCCCTAAGGCCGCTCTCTCAACGCAGCCTGGGAGCAGAACGTAGCTGCGAAGCGGCCCTTTCTCTCGAGCTTGTGGCAGGTGCACAAGGCGGCAGCAAGGGTTTAGGGTTTAGGGTTTAGGTATTAGGTTTAGGGATGGTTTGGGGGGTTTTTAGGTTTTGGAGGGCTACGTTTAGGGTTTAGGGTTCATCCGAACGCGACATGGCCTACCTTCTTGGGGCTCTTTTTGTGGGTTAAGCCTTGAGAAGGGTACAGGTGTTTTGGGGGTTCCAGGTAGGGACTGAGAGGGTCCCGTTTCGAATGACAGGCTTTAGGATCTTGGCGCGCCGGGTATGGAGTTTGAGGTTGGGGTTTAAGGATTTAGTAGTCTGTATTTTGCAATTCGAGCCGAGATGTATTCGACTCGGCAGAGAAGGGACCGTTAGCTGGACAGGGTTGCACGGCGGTTGCTTCCTAAATTCGAAGCCCTCCACCCAAAAAGCACTGAGCCAGCAAGATCGTCATTTGCGAGTTTGGAAAACATGGTGGGGCAATCCCTAAACCCGAAACCCTAAACCCTAAGTTGGGCGCCCCACAACGTTTAGCATCCGCTGCTTCTGAGCACCATCTGCAGATCTGAAACGCCCTGATTGACGACGTTCCCTAAACGCGAGGCAAAAATACGCTAAACTTCAGGGTCTGTCATGGCTAAGCTCCTTGAATGCTGGTTCTTTAGACGTATCTCTGCGTTCCAGTGGCCGTGGATGTCTTACCATATTTTTGTGTACCCTGTTCTGAGCAAAGGATCAGGGGTTCACAGCTCACGAAGTTCGCAGAAGAAGGAGATCCGCCGACAAGGACTCGTCTCCAGAAGTGACCATGTGGTACGACTCGTCCACGCTCATAGCAAATCGCCTGGGCCGTGGGCCCACCCACAACTCTGATGGAACCACCTTCACTTCGGGCTGAGGGTTTGGGGTTTAGGGATTCGGGTTTCGGGCTTGCAAAAGGGGATGAGGGCCGAGGGTTTGCGGGCTCCAAAGTCCTAAGCCGGAGGCCACAATCGTGCTGATGGGGGTCTTCCATGCCATTGAGCTCAGCGTTGGCTTCGTGTCTCCTTTGCTGATCCGGCCGATGATCGACAACTTGGACAAGTCCTCCATCTCCGTCGGCTTGATGCCACTTTGCAGCCAAATGGGTGATACTTTCCCATCAGGGGCAGCTTCTTTAGATGCCCGCGTCATAGTAAGGATCCGAGTCTTTGGCGTCTATTGGGAGGTCACCACTTTTCTGCAAGTCCCAAATCGCTTGATATCAACACGTTCCCTGACGCATCGTAGAGGGATCGGTAGTCATTCTGATATGTCTCGGAACCACAAAAGTGAATCTCGACTAGCAGCTGCAGGCCCCTCGCCTGCTGCACCAAGTTGGACAGCCGAAGCAGTCTACACACCGGTTTTCATCATCCGGCGAAAGCCGTCCGAGGCACAAAGAACTTAAGACCCGAACTTCAACATCTTGAGTCGGCAAAACGCCAAAACCAGAAGATCGTAGACCCGAAATTCCAAACCCGAAGCCCTGAACCGTATCCGCCCCACCACACGCAACCCAAGCCGCAAAAACAAAGCTACACAAGCCTAGCACCCGTACACAGAACCCTAAGCCTGGCACCTTGCCCAGGAGTTGCCGTGGTCATTCTCAGGGTAGTGTTGCATACCTGCCTGGCAGGCGCAGGTACGAGTTCCTCCAAGTCAGTTTGTCGTGAATTCTGTCATGGCTTCCCCAGCATGAGAATCGAGATGCAGAAACGTCCCAGTGCCGAGTCATCACAGAAGCACCACTGTATCCCAAACACTGAATCCAGGAGCTGAAGAACCCTAAACCCTACATCCGGAACTCCACACCCCAAAACCCAGGACTCCGAGCCCTAAACCCTCGACCCTACACTCTCTCTCTAGCCCCTAGGATCCCTGAACCTTCCATCCGAAGCACCCGAAGAACCGAGGTACGCGATCGCCTTGGCCGTGGGCCCGGCTTTACAGAATCCTGGCCATGTTTGGAGTGCTCTTGAGGTTTAGGGTTTAGGGTTTAGGGTTTAGGCAGACGGGTTTGGAGGTTTAAGGGTGCAGGCTTTGGGCGTTTTGTCTAGGCGTTGATAGTTGAGTTCATGCCCTTGTTCGGGTGCAGGGTACCTTATAGGAGTCGTATAGGGTCTCTCTAAAGGGTGTGTTGTAGGGTCTTCTAAGGGGTTTTGAAATAGTCGGGTACAGTGATTAGGGATCCCTCTGGAAAGGATTCTTGTGCCAGGGGTCTAGATCAGGGGGCTTCGATGAAGCCAGATCAAGCCCACGCCAAAGCCCATGGCACTGAGGGCCTAGACTCTATATCACTATACGCTAAT